AGGTTCCTTTGTGAAAGACTACGCGGTGACAATTATTGTTCTAACATCGCACTTTTTCGCGAACCCGTTGCAAAACATGGGACAAGTGCACACGCGCGCGTCCTCGCGCGCGCATGCCGAAATCCTTCAAAAACCTTCGGTGACGGAAGGATTTCGCAGTCGAGTTTCCCAAAAACATACAAACACACAGGGTTTCGCAACACTGATTTGCTAAACAAACTTCCGCGCGAGCTCTTGCGAAATCTTAAGAGAACCATCGTTTTTTTCAATATTTTCACAACATGCTATGAAACGGGCTTCGCGCGCGCATGTCGAAATCTGTCGAACGCCCTTGCGCTTGTGCCGTCGCGAGAACCCTCTGCAAAAAATGTGACGAAGTGCAGACGCGCGCATCGTCGCGCGCGTCGGCCGAAATCCTTCAAAACCCATCGGTTTCGGAAGGATTTCAAAGTCGCGCGTCCAAAAAACCTACAAACACCCAAGGTTTCGCAACACGGATTTTCAACAAAAGCGTGCGCGCGCGCTCTTGCGTCGTCGGCGTCTTCCTTCCTCCCTCGTCGTTGTCGTCGTCGGCGTCGCCGTCCTTCCTCCTTCTTCGTCGTTCGCGTCGTCGCCGTCCTCCCTCCTCCCTCGTCGTTGTCGTCGTTGTCGTCGTTGTCGCCGTCGTCGTCCTCCCTCCTCCCTCGTCGTCGTCTTCGTTGGCGACGTCGTTGTCGTCGTCGTCGTCGTTGTCTCGTCGTCGTCGTCGTCGGCGTCGTCGTCGTCGGCGTCGTCGTCGTCGTTGTCATCGTCGTCGTCGTCGGCGTCGTCGTCGTCGTCGGTGTCGTCGTCGTCGTGGTCGCTGTCGTCGTCGAAGTCGTTGGAGACGTCGTCGGTGTCGTCGTCGTCGGTGTCGGCGGCGCCGTCGTCGTCGTTGTCGTTGTCGCTGTCGTCGTCGGCGTCGTGGCCAAGTGCCATCTGGTACCTACCGTCACGGTCTTGTCTTAAGAGGTCTTGCGACCAAGTTGCGGGTGGGAGGGTGGGATGTTTGCACGAGCAGTGGAGAGGACAGCTTCAAGACGGTCAGCATGAATTGCACCACGTAGACTGCACAATATATATATATATATATATATAGATTGTGCCACGTCGGTTGCGCAACTTAGACTGCAACACATCGCTTGCGCAACCGGTATTGAACCGCAGATATTTCACCGCATGGCTTACGCCACATGAATTACACCACATAGAGTGTGCACACACTTCCTGTTTAAGCAGCGATTAAGATCTACCGCTTCCCCGAAGCTGGGATTATCGATCCCCGTGGGGATTTGCAATTCACACATGATTCTGCTCAATCGTCCACTTTTCAAATGAACACATACCGTCCCAGTTTAACCAGTATTGGCCCCCTATCATCCACATCAAATAATTTTATGCGCGCGCACCCGTTTATCAAGCAACGCTGATTGCAAAGGCCCCCAGGAACACACGGGACGAAGTGCACACGCGCGCGTCGTCGCGCACGCATGCCAGAATACTATTTTTTTGTGGGATAAGCCGAATACAAGCAATCACCTTCGGTTTCGTAGGGACTTGAGAGAGCGTGATCCACCGCTGCTTTACTGTGGAAAATTACCCCCCCTCATCCTCCGGAATCACTACCGGTTCGAACCCCCCCCACCCCCAGAAAACCGGGGGGGGTCACTACTGGTTCGAACCCCTGCCCCCCCAGAAAACCAGTTAGAGGTCACTACCGGTTCGAGCCCCCCCCCTCCGGAAAACCGGGGGGCCCCCGGGGGGTCACTATCGGTTCGAACCCCTCCCCTACCCCTCCGGAAAACCGGGGGGGGCCACTACCGGTTTGAACACCTCCCCCCCCCCTTCCGGAAAACCGGGGGGGGGGCACTACCGGTTCGAACCACCCCCCCACGCTCACCGCCAGCAAGCGATTCCCTGTCCCGACCACCGTCCGCACCACAACCCCTGCTGCTGTCCCCAGCACCACTGTCCTCACCACCGCTGTCCCCACTGTTCCCACCACCGTCACCACTGTCCTCACCAGTGCTCCCACTCACTGTCACACTGTCCCCACTGTCCCCACCACTGTTCCCACCACGGTTCCACTCTCCCCACTTTCTCCACGGCTCCAACCACTGTCCCACTGTCCCCACTGTCCCACTGTCCCCGCCGCTGTCCCTCTGAGCTGTCCCTCTGTACCCACCACTGTCCCCACTGTCCCCACCACTGTCCCTACTGCACCTCTGTCCCATTATCCCACCGCCGTCCTCGCCACCGCCCTCACCACTGTCGCAACCACCACTGTACCCTCCACTGTCCCACCACTCTCCCCACTTTCCCCACGGTCCCCACCACTGTCGCACTGTCCCCACTGTTCCCACCATTGTCCCACTGTCCCCGCCGTTGTCCCCACTGTGCTGTCCCACTGTCCCCACTGCCCCCATCATTGTCCCACTGTCCCCAGTGTCCCCACCACTTTCCGAGCTGTACTATACCACCACTGTCCTCACCACCGCCTTCACCACTGTCCCCACCACTACCGTCCCCACCACTGTCCCACTGTCCCCGCCACTGTCCCGCTGTCCCCTCACCACTGTCCCCACCACCACCGTCCCCACCACTGTCCGCACCACTGCCCCACTGTCCCTCCACCACTGTCCCCACCACCACCTTTCCCACCACTCTCCCAACATCCCCACCATTCTCCATCTGTCCAGAGGAGCGGGCATCGTTTGCCGGCGGCGAGGGGGGGGGGGGGGGTCGAACCGGTAAGGGCCCCCCCCACCGGTTTCGAGGGGGGGGAGGGGTTCGAACCGGTAGTGACCCCCCCCCGGTTTTCGAAGGGGGGGTTCGAACTGGTAGTGCCCCCCCCCCCCCTTTTCATGATGGACTGGTGGGGGGAAGGGTTCGAACCAGTAGTGACCCCCTTCGGTTTTTCGGAGGGGGGGGGGTCGAACCGGTAGTGACCCCCTGTTTTCCGCCAGCACCGGTAGAACACGCTCTGTCGAACTTGAAGATCGAGTGTTCCGAAACATACAGACCACACCTGGTTTTGAAACATGTGTTGTCAAACAGGAACGTGCGCGCTGTTGCTCATTACTCTTCTTTTCATGAAAAAGATACCACTGGAGTTTTTAGTTGTTATCCAACTTCAACTAAGCGGGCGTTTTGCGCGCGCATGTCGAAATCATTCGGACGCCCTTGCGCGCGTGCTGGGGGCGGGAGCGGCACGGCCCTTGTCAAAGCATACCATGTGGCCTACTCGCGCCCGTCGGCCGCGTGAGCATGCCGAAATCGCTCCAAAACCTTCATCGCCGACACGTGGACACCATCATCGTCATCAGCGAGATCAGCATCGGCACCGTCATGGGCCTTGTCGTCGTCATCGTCATCGTCGTCACCAACATCGCTGCTAGCATCATAGTATCTGCCGTTGTCGACGTCGCGATGATACCGCGCCCGCCCGAATCACCGACTCGCACTGCAGTGCCCGCGCGTCAGCGCGGCCTGCGAGACGCGCTAGGAAATCCCCAACGGTCAGCGCTACCGCGGCCGCGTCGGTCCTGGCCGCTCTGCGCACGAGCCTGCGCGCTAGCGCAGTCGCACTGATGCACCAGCCAGCGCGAAACAATCACCACAATCGCCGTCGCATGGGTCTTGCAAACCACGCTGCGGGTCATTGGTCTGTGGCCAAAACTGGCCTCCTGGGGGGGCGGGGCTAATCGGCACCCCGCGCTTCCGTGATCGACGGGCTCCAAGATAGCCCGAAGACGGCCCGCAACGCCTCTAAGAGAGCTCTTGGAGGGCCCCAGGATAACTTTAGAGGCCCCCAAAAGGCCTTCGAGCGGCCCCCAAAGCGGCCCGAAAAAGGCCCCGCAGAGGCACTCAAGGCGCTCATCGAAATCCCCCAAGAGCCAAGCGGACACCCGAAGAGACCCAGGCAGGCATCTAAAGCGCCTCTGGCCCACAGAGGCTCCCCGACATCTCCCGCTGATGCCGCGCTCCTCCGTTCAGGCCAGCTCCGCTGGGCACTGTGTCAGGCTGGGCTGGTGACGGTACTTTTTTTGTCGCAGCCGCAGGCGTAGGCGCCGGCGGCGTCACAGGTCGGCTCGGGCTACGACCAGATCTAATTGACCTAGCGCGCTCACGAGCAACTCCGGGCTACCGCCGGGGAGGGCTGGGCTGCGCCGAGGGCAGAGGCTGCAAGAGCTGCGGGGGGCTGCCAGGTGGCCGGGCAAGCGCGCAGGCACCCCAGGGACGAGACCACCGAGATGGATGAATTAGACCTTGTCGCACCAGGCGCCAGAGGTCGACGCGCCACATGCGTGGCGAAGCGCGGGGCTGCATAAACAGACCAATGTGCTAGGCAGGCCAACGGGGAGGAGCACACATGGCCGATCAAGAAGGCTGAACCACTCTTGAGTAAACCAGCCGGCCAGAAGGCTGGTGGGGGTACTTTTTTGTCTTCGGGCTCGCGAAGCAGGTCGAAAGCCGTCCGAACACTAGCCGGGCCGCGACTAGGCAGCAAGAAAAGAGAGACAAGCGAAGCGAACGCTCGGGCAGCCACTCAGAAGAAGAGCGAGAAACGAAACTCCCAGCCCGGTGAAACTGGTGAGGGCACGCGAAACGTCAAGAAATTCCTGCTGCTCCCGAAATAGAGGCCTCCTAGCCGGGGTCCGTGGTCGGAGGATCACGCCGCAGCGCCGATGCATCGGCGACGCATCGGCGACGTCGGCGCGGAGAAAATCTTGCTCCGCATCGAGCCGCGTCTGCGATGCATCGGCGATGCGGCGCGATCCTCCGACCCCATCTGCTCGGACCCCACCCGGGAGGCTTAGATGGGCGTCAAGAAGTCTGCTGCGTCTTCAGGCGGGCCCAGCCGCGACCCTGTCCAGCTCGCCCAGCAGCGCCCGCCGCTGCGAGGCCCGGAACGTGGCCGCCTCGCGCCGCCGGGCCGCCGCGAGCGCCGCGGCGGCCGCGGCGGCCGCGGCTGCCGCGGCTGCGCCGGGAGCTCCGCCTGCGCCGGCGCCGCCCTGGGCCGCCGCGGCTGCGGTGGGAGATCCGCCCGTGCCCGCGCTGCCCGCGGCCGCCGCGGCTGCGCCGGGAGCTCCGCCCGCGCCCGCGTCGCCCTCCGGGATCCTGTCCAGCGTGCGCCCGAGGAGCTCCTGAACCACTCTCTGCCACTCCGCCAGCGTCTCCTCCTGTGTGACAGGGCCGAGGGCGGCGGTCACGAGGGAGCTGACGGCGTAGTACAGGTTCGATCCGACAGGCTGCCACGCCGCCACCTGCCCTCCATAGTCAGTCTGCAGCAAGCGCGAATTCAAGCATTTGCGCATGGCTTCCGAATCGGCGCCGAACCTTGCCAACAATGGCTCCACACATACGAGCGACTCTGTGAACAGGTTTGACTCTGGCAGCTGGAAGCCGTACTGCAGCAGCAAGTAAGAGTCGGGGTGGTCACCGTATTTGAAGGTAAGCTCGTCTCCTGCCGCATGCCGCTCGCGCGCCACGACCACATAGGAGCCATCCGCGAGCACGAACGCAACCTTCGACGGTCTGGGGTCGTGGTTCATCAAATCGGTAATCGGAGGCAACGCTGCCACAGCCGTTCCGCCCTCGCCGAGGAAGCTCTGCGCCCTGCTGGTGATTGCGGTGAGCGCCCACCTGACTTCGTCCTCGTTCGGCGCGCTGGGGCCACAGCCGTGGCTCACCCAATGCTCGCGCACGACGCCAGCCAGCCAGGACGCGCGCTTACCGCGCAGCAGGGCCTGCTCCTTGAGCGGCGGGCTGCACAGCAGGTCCAACTCCGACGGCGTCCAGAGCCAGGCCGGGCCAGGGGAGAAATCGCTCGGCAAAGCCTCAATGCAGACTGGCGCCACGCGCCCTTGCGCCTTCTTCTCCAGCAGCAAGCAGGACAACTGCTCGTGCGGCGCCAGCTGCGCCGTGTCCGAGAGCGCTGCGACCGCGGAACCGCGGACCTGGTCATCTCGGGTCGGACGAGAGGACAGGGGAGTTATAAGACGAAGCAAAGGCGAAGATAAACTCGGGTGAGGATGAACCGAACATGTCTGAGATCCCGCGGATCCGGGGGATGACTCGGGCGCCGCGGACTTCTCAGAGCGTTCCGGAACGCTCTCGCCCTGAGAGCGTTCTGGAACGCTCTGGAACGGATTTCTCCTCTCGGCCGCGACGATCGGGGCGAAGAGCCCAGGGGCGGGCATTACACGCATTCGCCCGGGAGCCTTCTCGGAGACATATGTCGTCGGCGCACCTGAATACATATCTTTTGGCGGCGCGCACAGGGGGGTATGGGGAGGGGGAAGGCTTCTTAGAAGCACCCTTGCTTCTTAGAAGGCGCGGGCCTCGTCTACAAATGTAAGGCCGGCGCCTTCTTAGATGCAGCCTCCAAGTCTTGCTCTCCCCTGGACTCTTCGCCCCTGTCGTCGCCTCTGATCCTCGCCCTTACCCCGTCCCAGGGCAGCCACGGGGGGTGCCAGAGAACCAACTGCACGCCCCTGGACTCTTCGCCCCTGTCGTCGCCTCTGCTCCTCGCCCTAGCCCCGCCCCAGGGCAGCCACGCAGGAGTGCCAGAGCACGGCCTCGAGAACGGGGAGGAGGAGAATGAGGAGGGAGAAGGAGGAGGAGGAGGAGGAGGAGGAGGAGGAGGACGTGGAGGAGGAGGAGGAGGAGGAGGAGGAGGAGGAGGAGGAGCAGGAGGAGAGGAGGAGGAGGAGGAGGAGGAGGAGGAGGAGGAGGAGGAGGAGGAGGAGGAGGAGGAGGAGGAGGAGGAAGAGGAGGAGGACGTGGAGGAGGAGGAGGCAGCTGCACGCGGCTGGCTCTCCCGGCGGCGCGGGGAGCGGCCTGGCGTCGAGGCGAGCGCCCCGCGGCCGGGCCGGAGCTGGCGGCGAGCGGCAAGGCTTTCGTGACTGACGGGGCCCCAGGACACACAAAGAGATACACACACAATTACTGGAGGCCTGGCAATTGGCACCAACACCAACACAGGGGGTTGCCTCCACAGGGGGAAGATGATCCTAGATTTCGGTGTTGGTGGTAATATTTCGGCCACCTTGGAAGCCAAAATATTACCACCATCACCGAGATCGGGATCTTCTTCCCTCGTTGGAAGCACACCGCCGAAATTGGTGTTGGTGTCAGCCTCTAGGCCTGCAAAATGAACAAGATTCCCCATCTTTTCCCATCTTTTCGGGGTCTTTGCCTTCTCCCCACCCACCACTTCCCATAGTTTCCCCATATGTTCTGGGGAGTCGACGGTTCATTGTGTCTCTGTGTGTGTTTCTTCCCCTCCTGAGAATCCCCCCCCCTCTGTCGCCCGACCCGGCCATCGCTGCACAGCGCCAGCTCGCAGGGCACCCTCAGCAGGAGCTCCCCGGCCTCCACGTCGCGCGTGGTCACGAGCCCGCGCGGCCCGCGCTCCTCCGGGCCGCGGACCCGGACGGGCTCAGGTCGGGCGTGCCCTCCCCCAGGCGGACTTCGGAGGTACAGGGGAAGGATTCAAAACATACCCGAGGAGAGAGTCGACCAATCGCCCCCAGACCACGTGTGGACTATGTTTGAGCCTTCCTCCTGCAAAGCTTTGGGAGGCCTGGAAATGGGCGCCAGCACCAATACAGAGGGCTGTCTCCACGTGGGGAAGGTGATCCTAGATTACGGCGTTGGTGGTAATATTTCGGTCACCCGGAACCAAACTATTACCACCATCACCGAGACCGGGATAGAGTCTCGGTGGAACCAAACCGCCGATCTTGGTGTTGGTGTTAACCTCTAGGCCTCCTGCAGAGGGCCCTGCCCGACCTGAGGATGGGCCCGACGACGCCGCCGTGGCCCTGCAGCCACGCCAGCGCGGGGTGCCGCGCCGGGGCGAGCGCCTCCGCCGCGCCCGCCGCGGCCGCGGCCAGCAGGCGGCGCGCCCGGGCGCGCGGGGGGCGCATGGGGCCGTGCGGCGCGCGGCCGCGCGCGGCCCTGAGAGCCTGGCGTCGGGGCGCTGCTGCGCCCGCTGTCGGGCCCAGGGACGATTGCAGGTCGCTCTGGCCCGGAAAGCCCAGACTCCCTCGAGTCATGCCAAAAATCACGACGGGATCTTTTTTTTCGCAATTTTCAGCCTCTGGGGGCTCTCACGGGGCCTCGGGACCGTGAAAACACGCCCCGGGACGGAACACCGGTCCCAGGGAATGGGTCGAGATTTCTGGGGGTCGACGTCATGAACAAATCATGACGTCGGGGGTCTGGGAATGCAGCAAAAAGACGGGATCTTGGGCTCTGGTCTTGCTTTTTCGCGAGGTGGCACTGTTTTATTAGCAGCGCTGGATCTCAGGGGGGAGCCGACGGGTGGTGCCACTGGCTGTTCAGGAGTCTGCTTCAGCCTCCCCGCGCAAGGGACTCGTGGATCCTTCGGCGTGGCGTGCCTCTTCTTTCCATGTGCTGCTGGCTTGGGGTCGTCTTTCGCTCGGGCTCTGAGACGCGGTCTGCAGAACTGGCATCAAGGGGGAGTTCTGGATGGGGCAGCAGCGAGGCGGATTGAAAACATGGGTGAAGACTCTATTGAGGTGCCGCATTTACCATGCAGCGTACCTTACCGACGCAACTGATAACAACGGGGGGTAACAACAGCTGGTGACATGACAATTCCAGAATTTACGAACATACGTGGCACGACCACAGTGAAGCTGCTGCAATAAGGAACGCTAGACAATTGGCCAGCCCCCTTTTGGCGCCAAAATCGCCTCCGTGCACGAATGGGGCTGGAGAAGCAACCATGGAACGACCCAAGGAACAGCGAACCCCGTCCGAACCCAAAGCGGTCCCCATCTCAGCGTCGTGGCTGCGCTGGCGCAGCGCTTGCTCGGCTTGCGCTCCGGCGACGGCAAATCAACGACACTTGCTGGGAGAACGCTGGAGAGATATCGATGGACCCCGTCGGTCTACCGTGTTTACTAGGGGGCCACATGCGAACCCTAGCCCTACCCTGCTTGGTTTCTGAGTGGGAGGGTGGGGTTCACTTCGTCCGGGGGCTCCCGAGCGAAGTGCACGCCACCCTCCCCCTCAGAAATCGTGGGGGGTAGGGGTAGGGTTCGCATTTGGTCACCTATTTACGTCGACTGTCCGCGTCCAGTGATTAGATACAGTCGGGGCGTTGAGCTAAGGAATCCAAAATAAGGAACGAGGCCCCTTTCTCCCTTAGATTAAACCTCGATTTCCCATGGAAAACCTCAGGAAAACAGAAGGCAAACTGTAGAACAATCAAGGAACACCGAGCCCCTCCCCAACGAAAAGGGTTCCCTCTTCAGGGCCCCGGCTGTAGGGTTCGCATTTGGCCCCCTATTTACGTCGATGGTCCGCGCCCAGTCATCAGAGACAGCGTGCTGCGGCCGAACGAGCACGGCCGGGGCCCCCTGCGTGCCTGCGAGCGCGGCCCTCTTCGAGGCAGCCTGCTCGCCGCTCTGCCACGACCACCACGCGCTCTCCTCGGTGCCACACTGAAGTCGGGCCTGTCCTCCTGCAGGGGGATTTCGGACGAAAAAAATAAAAAATAGTCAAACAATACCCCCAAATGGTCAAAACATGGCCCCAGACTGTTTTTGACTATTTTGGAGCATTCCTCCTGTAGAGGGACAGGCCCGACTGAATGCCACATACTCGAGTCCGACAGGACACCAAGACACCAAGAGAGCCCGGTGGCGGGCGGCCGAACTCATGGACTCACACCCCCCACAGCCCAGCCTTCGAGGCCCCGAGGGCGACGACTCTGCGGCAGTCCCACCCCCGTGCCCGCGCCGCGAGCCACCTCGAGGCCCCGAGGGCAGCTTTCACCGCTGCTGTCCGAGTGCGCAGCCGCGATGGGCTCACATCGGGCTCGTGGGCCTGCCAGAACTCGTGCGCATGCCACCAGCCCGATACAGTCTCGGACGATCTCCGCCGAAGAGGTAGCGACAGAGCTCCT